CCAAAAGACCTGACCATAACCACTTAGTGGACAAAAAGGTTTTTTTTGCTTCAGGGTTTCAGAGATTGATTCTATGGTAAGTAGGCTCCATTGCTCTGTACTAATTCTGTTATGGTAGAATATCACAGTGTGGAAGGGTCTGGTGGAGGAAATCTGCTCAGTTCATGGCAACTGGGAGAGAGAGAGAGAGAGAGAGATCAAAGACAAAATATATATAATCCTCAAGGTCATGGCCCCGGTGGCCTACTTCTTCCAGCCATGTGGCACGTGCCTAGATTTACCATCCAGTAACCCATTCAGATTATTAACCATTAAATGAGTGAATACACTGATTAGGAAACATTTCTCATAATTTAATCACGGCACCTCTGAACAATCCTGCATTGTTGCATGAGCTACTGGGGGGATACTTCATAACCAAACCATTACAAGCCCCATCTAATCTGTGGCTTCATCCTCTTCCAGACCTGCCTTATAAGATTGCCAGCTTAAGGACAAAACATGGAGGATGGTCTTAATGGAACAATTTGAGAGGAGCACACATTCCTGATGCTCACATTCCATTGGCTAGAATTCATCTGCTGTCTAAATTAACTCTAAATAAGACTGGAAATAAATCTTAACGTGGTACGCAGAGGAAAAAAATGGATTACTAGCACCCAGTAGTCTTCTCTGCTAACAGTAATAGAAATAATAAAAAAGCTTACTAATCACATTAAATAGATAGATAAATAAATAAATAAATAAAAATTTCTGGATGCTTACTTTTTTAAAGTTTTGCAGATCACATTTCTTTTATATTATCATTAGCTAATACATCAGTGAAACTGCCATGAGAGCCTCTGTTAGTAATGATGGAACTAAATGTAAATTTCAACTTCTCAGCTATTATTAGTTTTTTTTTTCTTTATATTTGACAAAGAACTTGAGTAGGGGGAGTATCAGCTATGTATTTTCTTATGGTTAATATATGCATGTTTTTAGTACTATTTTCAATTTCGATTTCTTTGCAGGAGTCTTTTAACATTGCTCTTTTGTTTTGTAAAGATGTGTGTGTGTGTGTGTGTGTGTGTGTGTGTGTGTGTGTGAAAGAAAATGTGTAAACCAGATATTATAATCCTTAAACCTACTTCACCAGGTAATACATTAAAGTATACAGTCACCAATGCAAATTTTTAATTTGGGGATCCTTACCCCTTCTTTCAACTTGCCTTATCATATGGGATATTTGACCTTCTGATGTATTGATGGTGTGACGGTACTGGCGTAAGTCCTCATATGACTTATATAGTCATTTCTCTTTCTTATATTTTGATACAAAAACCACTCTAGAGTCCCTATGGTTTTCTCGAATTCCACTGATTGCCTCATAACTTCCCAAAGAGTACATGCACCAGGTGTTGCAGTTCGCAGACGGTAAAGAAGGAAAATATCGAACCCCTGCCCTTGCCAATCAAAGGCTGCAGACAAAAGAGGGTAATTTTTAGGGCAGTGGGAGTTTAGGTCCACTAAATTCATTAACATAGTGTTGATTAAAGAGTACTTCTTGTTTAGTCTGGTTTCAGATGTGTTTCTACTTTTTCTTAGAAGAGTCTTAGTTTATTTTGTTTCATTTTACTAAATATAAAGTAGTGAATCTTTTTTTTTTAATAAGGTTGAATCTTTAATTTTCAGGAGCACTTAACAGAGCTTGGGCTTTCTCAGATGGGCACAACTGGTTAAAATATTTAGGAATTTTAAAAAGAGATGCATTTCTACCCATTTCATATTCCCAGTACTAAGCAGCTTCCTTCAGTGAATGCCTGACATTACCTTATGTATCATATAACAACACTGCAGTCAGCACTAACCGTATGTTCTACAGCACCCATATAACTGAACAACTCCTATTGCCTGGTGTAATATGGTAAACATGGTAGCACTATACAATTATCCATTTTGTAGTGATTCTGCTGTAATCACACCTGTTTATTTAGATATGTTTAGGTACACAAATACTTACAACTTTTTTTTACAATTGCTACAGTAATTTGTATAGAAACATGTACAGTTTGTAGCCTAGAAGCAATGCACTATAACATACAGACTAACAGGGACCACAGCTTTGGGTTGAGCTGTTTTGAAGTCAGTGCAAAACAGAAACATCTTTACAATATCAACTCTTCCTGTCCAAGAATGGGATGGTGTGTGTCTCCATTGCTCAGGTCATCCCTTATGTTTTTCACCAAAATATTGTCATTTTCTCCATACAACATTGTATGTGTTGTGTTATGGTCATCTCTAGTTTATCAGCTCTTGGTTATTGTGTATGACATATTTAAAACTACATTTCTATAGTTGGTCACTGCTCTTCTATTAGATTTTAATTGTTTATCTAGTATTTAGCCTTCTTGTCCTTTGCTCTTAGAGTAGTTCTAATTGTTTTTTAATCTTTTTTGTTTTTAAATATTCTTAAGAACCTTTTTTAAATTTTCCTTTCAGTTTCAGGGATGGTACACATGGGCAATTTACCATTGAGCTACATCTCCAGCCCTTTCTAAAAAATTTTTATTTTGACATAGGGTGTTGCTAAATTGCTGAGGCTGGCCTTGAACTTGTGATCCTCTTGCCTCAGCCTCTCAAGTAACTGGGATTACAGGTGAGCACTCCTGTGCCCATTGAAAATCTTATTTTCTATAAGCCATAAAGTAATTTAATGTTGACTTTTCTAATAATTTGTATCTCTTCTTTTTTTTTCTTTTTCTTTTCTAACATATTGATTTTGTCTCCCAATAAAACACTGAAAAGCAGTGTGGAGTATTGGCAATTATTTCCTTGTTCTAAACCCATGAAGGCATTAACCTTTTGGAGCCCTATCAACCTTCTTTCCTTTCTCTTCTCTCTTCTCTCTTCATGTTTTTCCACCCATAAGTAATTAAGTTCTTTCACTCAAAGAAGTTTGAGTTGATTTTCTGTTTTAGAAGTAATCACGTTTTTCATAGGAACTTCCTGGAAATGTTCCATGTTTATTTTCCCTCACATAACAGATACTTTACAGCAGCTTGTTATTAAGAAAATTACTTATATTATGCTTGATATAAAAATGCCCCACGAGATAACAGAATAATCGAAGTGTGTTTGGCTCTACAGAAGAGAAGCCTGTGATATAGTCATTTGACTATTTTGGTACCTTTGCTATCAGATTCTACTTCTTTAAATTGTCAGTATGCCTGAAACTAACAGCTTCCTCCTCCCTCAGTATTTTTTCTAATTTGAGAAGTCAAAAAAATGATTCCCAAACTCAGAATGATGTATACCATGAGAATAAATCAGATATAACTAAAAATAGAGAGTGTTTTCCTCTGATATAAAGTGTACAGCCTAAGTTGGGAGTTTAGATGACAGCTGCATTCGCACGGAGGGCACATACACTTCTTTCCAGGTACGGGGGAGATGTGGGTCCTGGAACAGTAGCATGTTAATGTGTTAGACTAAATCCTCATTAAGGAGCACCCTCAGAAAAGCAACCTCGGAGACAAGCTTTGCCTCATAATGAATGATTGCTTCTCGTGGGTGGAACTGAATATACTACAGTGTGTTCCTCATTGCATACGTATTTTACAAAAAAAAAAAAAACCACATTATCTGACATTCTTATTTTAATGACTCTAGCTTTATTTTTTGTTTTTGTCTAGTGCGTATACTTAAATGTCCTTATAGAGTGTTTATTTAATCCCATATATTTAATTACTTAGTAATCAAAAGAGAGCTGAATATGACAGCTCTCCAAACTGCAACATCCACTCCTTAAGTACTGGTTCTACCTGTATGCATCGCCTGAGTGTGTATTTATTGAATGCTTTAGTTTTCTTTTGGTGTTATCTCTTTCCCCGTGAACTGACTGGACATTAATTGTGACTTTGACTAATGGCTTTGCTTGCTCTGGGCTTTGGAGTAAACATCAGAAGCTACAGCATTGGGAACTTTTCTGTGGACTGCCTTTCTTGATAACCTCCAAAAGAAGTCTTTACTGTGCTAACCAGGATAAATGTCAATGAAAATAAACCACAGAACCCACATTCTTTTGAGGCCGATTTAAAAAAAAAAAAATACAGCAGTAAACAAGACTGGCAACTTTTGCTGATCAGAAAATGGAGCCGATGTGTTCATTTTCTTTCCAAACTTCTCCCTGGTAAGGAATTAAAAGTTCAGAAATATATATATGTAAATATATATAAAAGGAGATAACAAGTTGTTTGAAAGATGCTAAAAGCTTTGTTAGCAAATTAAGTAGCTCTAGATTTAGTGCTAAAAGAAGTTTGGCAGTTGAGATGTGTGTTCAAATTATGATACTTGGAAAAAGAAGTGATAATAAATGCAAATCTAATTTGGATTCTGGAAACTTTAGCTGATTAACTAAAGATGGAGCCGAAAACATTTAATCCCCTCACATTAAATTTACCATTTTATTTTTATAAATTGAAATCAGAGATAGATACCCAAACTCAAAAGTCCTAGGGAAAAAACATATAAGCACTGGCCATTGACCCCTGCCCATTTATGAGTTGCTCATTCACCTCTGCCCAGAATTACATGGCTCAGGACAGGAGATTGCTTTTTCTTCCTTGGTGCTCGGAGGTAGTTCCACGTGTGCTTTTGATTTCTTGCCTGCTTGAGGCTGGTTACTCCAAGAAACAGCATACTTGTCCATCTGTGGAAATACAACCTTGAGACAACTGGAGATTTTGAGTTACTGGCCAGTCTCCACTTTCTACTTACTCACCTACTTTTAGTTTCTACAGGAAACAAATAAGGGCTGCTTAATCTATATGCTAATCCATACAGTCCTACACTTTTGCTGATGAGGTTATGTGATGAGGCTATCTGATGTGCACTCGTGGTTTGATAACTAAATCCCATGATCTCGTAAACATGGAATATTAAGAAATTAAGAAGATGACAGCACACGTTTCCCAACAGTTTTTGCAGAGTGGTTTTACAGCTTCCCTTTTATATTTAAGGTGACGACACTTGTCAACACAAGCAACAAAGGCCCATCTGGTAAAAAGAAAGGGAGGTCAAAGAAAGCCCATGTACTGGCCGCATCTGTAGAGCAAGCTACTCAGAACTTCCTGGAAAAGGGTGAACAGATCGCTAAGGAGAGTCAAGATCTCAAAGAAGAGTTGGTGGCCGCTGTAGAGGATGTGCGCAAACAAGGTAGGCAGAATCTCGGTGATAAGAGGGATCATGTGGATTTTTTTCTTTGGGAACGATGGATACACAAAGGCGTAGTTTTATCTTTTCCCTCCATGTGTACACTATTTTCAGTGTTGGCTGGAACTAGGTGTATACACAAAGACATTTTGTTGTTGTTGTTGGTATAGTTTAGCACAGCTACAAATAGTCCGTGTCTGCTGTTTCTTCAGAATATTTTAATTGTTCTTCGTTGGTAGATGAAAACAAACTCATTGTGAAATTCAGACTTTAAGGAGGAGGGTTAAAAGGACTTATACTTATTGAGTCACTAAAAACCCAGGATTTTAAGGATAATGAGTGAGAAGAATGTAGAATGATATAAGATTATTATTGAATGATATAAGATTTACAAATTTATACTTTCAGTTTGTAGCTTTTCTCACACATCTAGTTACTTATCATATTATATATTCAGCTTTTTAAATTTTTTATTTGTAGTAAAATAGACATAGTCTAAAATTTATCATCTTAACTATTTTTAAGTTTACAGTTCAATATGTTACGTATATTCACATCTTGGAGAAACTAATCTCCAGAAGTTTTTCATCTTGTAAAAGTGAAACTCGGTGTATATTTAAAAAGTTCCCATATCCCCATTCCCCCAAGTTCCTGGAAACCAACACTCCACTTTTTTAAAATTCTATGAGTTTGACTACTTCTGCTACTTCATAGAATTGTAATCCTATGGTGTAAGTCTTTTTGTGTCTGGATTGTTTCATTAGTGTAATGTCTTTGAGGTCAGTAGATGGTGTGGAGTATGTCAGGATTGTCTTCCTTTTTGTGGATGAATAATATTGCATTACATGTATGTACCACAATTTTTTTTACCCACTTGTACATACATGGACCTTTTTGTTTGTTCAACTCTTTTGCTATGAACCTGAATATATAAATTTCTTTGATTCTCTTCTTTTAGTTTTCTTGAATATGTGCCCACAAGTGGTAGCGTTGGATCACATGGTAATTACATTTTAAGTCTGAGGAACCTTCATGCTCTTTTTTCAAAATGGCTCCACCACTGTATACTCCCATTAATAGCATAGAAGACCTCTGATTTCTGCCTTGTCTTTGCCAGCATTTGTTTTTCTTTTCATTTCTTTCTTTTTTTTTTTAATAGTCACCATCATAATTGGTGGGAAGTCATATTCCATTATGGATTTTATTTATATTTCCCTAACTATTAATCATGTTGACCATTTTTTCATATGGTTGTGAACCATGTATTTTCTTAGGAGAAACGTCTCTTCAACAACTTTGCCTGTTTCTTAAGTTATTTGGTTTTGCTGTTATTATTCTTGCGTTGTAGCAATTCCTTGTGTATTCTGGGTATTAACACCTTATCAGATATGGATTTGCACATATTTTCTTTATTCCATAGGTTGCCTTTTTCAGTCGACTTTATCACTTGAAAAAGTTTTTAAATTTTTATACAGTCCTACATGGCATTGTTAGTTGAAAGTTCTAAGAACCCTGAAATCAGAATGGACACCTAATCTCCAGCTTGGCTTCCCTCTGCATTTCTTATCTCCATGGACCCCGTGCATATCTATCCAGTTGCATATTGCAGAAGCCTTGGTGTCATTTTTGTTGATTCCCTTTCCTTTCACAGATGGTCTATTATAAATTATCATGCATTTCAACTCCCAAATATGTGTTTTTTAGACTACTTTCTATCTTGTTTATTCAAAAATGCCATGTTTTTACCTGTCGCAAGGACTTTTTGTGTGCTGTCTTCTTTCAAACAGTTAAGGATGAATCATTGTGCACAGTTCAAAGAAAACCTTCCCAAGCAAGTTTTCTCTGACAACCCTGTCATACTTTTTCATGAATCTTTTCATTGTTTTTGTCTTTTCAAAAGGTAATTAATCACTTGTAAGATGACATTGTTCCTAGCCACACTATAAATTAATAGAGACTCTCTGTCTTTTGCTGTTTGTTGATTTATAATGCTTAGCTCTCCTAAGATTTCATTAAATACTTGTTGAATGAATGAATAGATGGGAGGATGGCTGTTCTTTTCCCATTCTTCTTGCAACCCTACTACTTTTTAAATTCACAACTGAATGTTTAGTACCCAGTGTAACAATCCTTCTTCCACACCAACATTACCTGTTCTTCATGTTGCCATTTTCTTCCCCATTTTCTTCTTCTCCATAAAAGTTAATTTCATAAATTTAAATAGTTATTTTAATTTGAAATGTTAAATGTCCCATATTTCATCTACTGTGAACAGAATACATTTGTATATGTGTTTTGGCAATGTGAAAACTTCTAAGTTTTCAAGTGCATTTGAAAATTGGTATTCCTTATGAACTGCAGATGGGCAGCTGTTCATTTTCGTGCATGTGGAACCCTGGATATTTTGTTGTTCTTTTCTTTTGTTATTTTTTTACATTGACTGACACAATAAAGTACACATACTTAAAATATATACTTTGTTGAGTCTTGACAACTGTATATACCCGTGAAATCATTACTGCAATCAGGATAGTGAACATATCTATAGCTGGGAGAGGGTGTTTGACTTTTCTCTCGCCTTGTTCTTAAAACATTTTCTTTTTTGGGTGATAAGTTTCCACATCTAGTTTTCTCAGGACCCTTGTAGGTTTTCCTTCTTTCTCTTCCAAGTTAATTTTCACACATTTTTAGAAATTAACATTTTAGTTTTCTTGAAGCTTATATGAAATGGTGTTTTGTGGCTATAATAACCAAATAGTTGTCAGCTAGACTAGAGTTATTAGAGTAAGAAATTTGTACAAATGCTAATTTGAGCAGCTTATAATGGTTGTTCTCCTAGAGAATTCCTCTCTGTATTTCTTGCCACAGACAAATGAAGCTTCTGAAATGATGGCTTTATATAACCTGTAGAAAGCTCAATTGCCATGTATTCTCTTCTCTGAATAATGTCAAATTCAAGAAAACACTAATATGCAAAATAGAAACTCTATTTTTGCCATCAGCCTTTAGAACTCTCTTTTCCTGTTTCTCTCACTCTCCTGAATCTCCTGTACACCTCAGGTGCTTATTTCAAGGGAGACCCATCTCTTTTCCCTGATAGAAGGTCCTCGGTTTCCTGTTCAGTTCTGTGCCCACAGTCTCTCATTTCTTTATTTGCCTTCTCTTGTAATCTCCTTGGCCTCTCTGCCTAGCTTTGCTCAGTCTTCCTGTTTGCCCATTACCCATGTTACTCACATGTGAGAGCCTGAGTTTGTTTTCAGAAGACACTTAGGAAGGAAGGAACTTGAGGGGAGAGATGTGGACTAGGGCTGGGTATTTAGTTATCAGAAATGTTAGAACCTATTATCTTTCCTTATACTATAGAAATCTGTTTGCTGATATGGAAGATGATATTCAGAAATTATGGAAACATTTACATTTAGAAACATTAGCCTCCTTTAACCATGCCTTCCTCAACATCCATTCATTTAATAAATAAATCATATTAGCTTGGAAGTTCAATCTATTAGTTTCACTTTCACTTTCCCATTCCAGGGCCTCAAGCATGCTAGGCAGGTATACCACCCCCACCCATCCTTGTTTATGCTTTTTTAAATGATCAAAGAGTATTATTATTTTTTTAAAGTTTCAGCATGAGTAAATGCCAGAAATTTAAATACTATACATGCCCATTTGCAGAGGTTAAATATAGTGCCACTATTTTTGTTCTTTTGACATTTCACAATTCTCATGGTAATGCTTACAGTTTATCTAGCAACCATATATACGAAATTATCTACTAAACTTCATTGTTAATGAAGTTTATTAACCTCACATGGTTAAATTCAATGTTGTTTATCATTTAAAAAATATATAATCTCTCTTCAACCTAGGCGAGTGCCACATTCTTAAAAAGTGCCCAGTATGAGTAGTGAATATGTTTTTTTCCTCGAATATTCCAGAGGAAGATTTCCTTTGGAAATCTTGTGCTTTCAAGTTATATCTGTAAAATAAACTTTATAAATAAAATAAACTTTTAAAATTTGTTCTTTCAAGTTATATCTGTAAAATAGTCTTTGAGGAAGCCTGTACTAATATTTGCATTAAAAACTTATAGTAAAAATAGTTTTTTTCCAAAAGAATTATCGGATTCAAAGCCTAGAACTCAGGAGATGGTGTATCTGTGTGCTTGCTTTATAATAAATAAAATAGTTGATATGTGTACACTAGCTTCCTGTTAAGTTTAGGCTCCATCAGGATAGGAACAACAAGGTATGTGCATGTCTTTCCACAAGATCCTGTCACAGTGCTCTAGGACATGGCAGGAGATAGGAAGGAGGCTTTCTGAGCAAATCAAAAGAGCCTTGCAAACTCAGTTAATGTTCCATATCCTAATCTTACTTTGGTAAATATCTAGATGTTTAAGCTAAATAACTAAGCCACCTTCAGCTTCAGTTTTTCCATTTTTCAAATACAGATGGTTGCTATATAATCCCAGGATTATTTTTTATTGGTTCTTCTTAATTATACATAGCATTAGAATTCATTTTGACAGAATTATAAAAGCATGGAATATAATTTGTTCTAATTCAGTCCCCAATATTTCTCCCTTCCCTCTGTTCCTCCTTTACCCTATTCCTATCTCTCTACTATTTGCTGCTATTTAGTTAGTAGTGTCTTCTGGATATGTATAATGGGGGAATTCACTATATAGTACACTGTTTTAGTCAGCTATTTCACTATTGTGACTAAAAAGACCAGACCAGGACAACTGTAGAAGAGGAAATATTTATTTAGTGGCTCAGAGGTCTTAGTCTATAGAAGGCTGGTTCCATTCACTGGTACACGGTGAGGCAGAATATCATACCCTGAAGAGTGTGGCAGAGGGAAGCAGCTCACATGGTGATCAGAAGGCAGAGAGAGTGAGACCCCACTCACCAGATACAAATCTATACCCCAAGCCACACCCCAACTCCCACCTCCTCCCACTTCAATTACCACTCAGTTAATCCCTATCAGGGGAT